CACTGAAAAATTATTTGAATGAAATTTTATTATTCCTAATTTTATGAAAATTATTTATTTAGAAAATTAAATTAAGGTGTTACAAATTTTATATTCAAAAAAATAAAAGGTATAAATTAAAGAAAAATGTTAAAAAATAAATTATTTAAAGTTATAAAAAATTAAATATAATTAATTTGGATAGAATTTAAAAAGGAAATTAGAAAAGGAAAAAACTAAAGTAATAAAAAGATATACATAATTAATTAGAAACAATTTAAAATCAATAAAGAGAAGTTAGATAAAAAAAAGAAGTAATTAAAAAGAGTGCATCGTTCTCAAGAAAATGTACGTTGATTTAATCATAAGAGAAATAGTATGATTAACGTTTAGGCGTCATATTTAACAAAATACTAAGTTGATGCCGCTAAAATATGTTAACTGAATTAAAAGAAGGATTAAAATAAAGAGATGTTTATTCTTTAATGAGCTATAAGTTGATAAATCTTGACTGCAAAAGACTAAATCTAAAACAATTAAGTGCATTACCTTGGACTTAAACAGAGTAATGAATCTTAGTTTTAAATCTTACTTTGTTTTGAATTTTTAAAAATTAATATTGTATATAATTATTTACTTTTATATGTTCATATTTTAAAAATACCACAAATTTTGTTGTCTTTACAGTACAATTTTCAACGAATTATATTTTATTTACAATATCTTTTATGATAAATTTCTATAACAATACATATATTTTTTATGTTTCTCCATCCCATTATTCATATAATCACTTCTTTTCTCTCTTTTCTTCTTATTTCTCTTAATATATATATAAAATAAAACCAACAACTTTAGTGTAGAAATAACGTTTCTCTTTTCCAACCGGAATAACAACAGTAATGCCACAGAAAATGCTTGATGATTCAAAACAGGAGTATAAGTTATATCAAATCCAATCACCGATCAAACAACGTAATCAATGCTGACAATGTTGTACGATCATAAGAAGTTTCCTCGGCTTATTAGTTACTATTGTAGAGGCGCTTCAAGACAGGAAACTTGAGATGAAAATCAAAAGTAAATATTCAATGCTGTTTTCTTGTTTTTCTTGGGAAGTTTCCTTTATTAAATTTATATTGGAGGTTCTCCATGATGGGAAACTTGAGCTTAGTGCACGAATATAAAGCGACACTTGGGTTTATTAATTTTTTCTTGTCTCCTTTATTATCCTCTATTTTGTACCTTAACTAAAATCATACAGAATAAGATTATAGGAGGAAAATAGTGATAGTGATATACTTATCAATTTGAAAATAGGATAACAATTAGTTAAGAAATTTGAATATCCTCATATTATTAAGTAATATAATATAATTATGTTAGAGAGAGAAAATATAAGTTTTATCAAATAAGGACGTATCATAATTAATTACAGACTCCATGAAATAAATTTGATGTAAATATGTATTTTTTTAACATAACCATATTATGGTATTGTTACTTGTCAGTGTAAGAAGATCTAAATTTTTACTGAGTAATTTTGTTATACATTTGAGAACAGGTAGAAGGTCTTACACATGTGTGCTAACTGCTAATTCAGTGATTCTATTGAAATTTTAATGAGGGATTAGTTAGTTGCTTAAAAATTAAGAAAGGTAATTATTTCTATGATTAATAAGCTGAGCTAATGAGTTGATTCTCTTACGGATTGCATGTTTTCAATGAATGCTACAAACTTGATCCTTTGTCTTTTGCATGCCTTGCATGGCCTTCAATATCAAAGATATGGAATTATTATGCCTCACTAATGAAGACAACGGAAACATAACAAAAAGCAGAAATTAACCTGTTTTTTTAATGGACATTGGAAGCTTCATTCCTTCCTCTTATTCACAATGAATGTGGTCCATGATTGAATAGTTTCATTTTCATTAAAAGTACCTTTTCCCATACCCACACCAGATACTTTCAATTGAAGCCACGAGAGATATTTGTCTGCCTTAACATGAACACAAGTATACGCTCATGACAACAATAAGATTATATATCTATCATTCTTGTATAGGATATTTGTCTTCCCAAAATAATGGTTGAATTTTAAACCTGATTAGGATAAAAGAGCTAAATAAAATAGTTGTCTTGCTTCTGATTTTGTAGATTGTTTTACCACTAATTTGAGTGTATACTTCCATATCATTTTGTAATTATATATGTTCATAGTCATACTAATGCACCCACTATTTTAACACGTACTACTAACAAAAAAGAAAGTAATTATGAGTATTTGTAAATTATTTAAATACGATAAATAAGGACTAAAAAATATTTATTAAACGAAGTTTAGGGGTGCTCAAAATTAAATTAAATCATTTTAAAACTGTTAAAAAAAAACATTGATCAAATAAAAAACTATAATTTTTTAAATTTTTTTATTAAAATTCAATTATTATTATTATTATTATTATTATTATTATTATTATTATTATTATTATTATTATTGAATTGAACTGAACCCAAGCAAACCTATATTATATGTATATTATTATTTTTATTGTATTTGCATATAAAAGCTACTTTCCCTTAACCTTATCATAGTATCGTATAAATATAAGATACAATACTTTTACTTTTTAAACTACATTTCATTTTATAAAATCTTAAAATGAATAATATGGTGCTTTAAATTTATTTGGGATAACAATGAAAATATTAGAGAAAAAAAAAAAGAAATATCATGTGAAACTCATTCATAGCTGTTCATCATCATGAGGAAATTCATTTGCAAAAAAATACAATAAAGTGCAACATATTTAATTTCATTCATCGAAGGATGGGAATATGATTTTTAAAGTTTTAAAAAGATAATTTACTCTAAAAATACGAAGATTTCAAATTTCTAATTCTGAAAAATCTAAAAAAATTCTTTATTTAAATGCTAGATAATTTATTTCAATAGTAATTCGAAAACATCTTATTATATATGTAATGTTTAATTGGAGAAAATTATGTTTTAATAAAAGTAATTAAGGGAAACAAAATTTCTTTTTTATTACATAGTTAATTAAAAATAAGTAAAACTAATTAATATTTTAATCTTCTAAGTTTATTTTAAGTTACACTTTAGTTATCTAACTTACTTTTATGTTTCACCATTTTTTTCAATTACTATCATCTTAAAACTTAACAAAAATATTTTACGGAACACTTCTACGACTTCAATGAATTTGCTCACATAAATTATATGTTTGATTTGAATGGTTTAAATTAGAGATGGAAATAGTAGAACTACTCGTAAAATATTCAAGTCTGGCTCGTTAAATGTTTGAGTAGGATCATTTAATTAATTAAATAAATAAGTTCAGATTTAAAAGTAGATTCAATTATTTAAATAAATTAAGTTTAAACTTTATAAACTTAACATTAATAGCTCATAAATACCTTACGTGCGCGCTCACATAATATACATATATAATTAAATAATTATAATTTTATTTATTATAGTTATTAAAATTTATATTTATTTTATTATTATTATTATTATTGTGTGTATCTTTTATCTAATTTTAATTTTCAAGAGTTGTATTTTAAACAAATAACTATAATTATTTTAAAAGAAATATACTATTTTTATATTATTTTTTATTTTTAAACTTAAGTCATTTTATGCAGATAAAATTACATTTTATTACCATTTTAATTTTTTTAACAAAAATATTCATTAAATACAAAATTAATAACATATTATTTAAAACTTATAAAAAATTATAAACAAAATAAAGATCTAAATTCAAATTTCAAAATTATTAATTAAGTTAAATTCAAACTTTAAATTTAGATTATTTAAATAAATCAATCAAACTTAAACATTTTTTTTCTTCATAAATCAAACTTGAATTTTAAATATCTGGCTTAACTTTGGCCATTTCCACCCTAGTCCAAACATTGTGTATCATATGTTTTCGCTGGATTCTTGTACACAAAGCCAAATAACAAAATAAAAATAAAATGATTATATAATTTTGTTATATGGGGGCAGATATATAGGATGTCATTTATAAAAAATATAAGTTATTTTTATTATACAAGAGTGGATAACTCTTTAAAAATTAATTATTTGATAAAGAATATTACTTTTTATTATTTAGTTTTAATATTTGGACTTCTAAATTTTCAACAAATGACAAATGGATTATTCTATTCTTCAAATAATAAAAATACAACAATTATCAATAGATTAGGAAATTTTTGTGACATAATTTAAAACTGTGCACCAGAGCGAAGTAGCTCTCAATTATGTGATTATAGGTAAATCTCTTGATTCTAATTAAGGTTGAGGAAATGCTTGATGTATATTTAAACTTTTAGTAGAGAGTATAATTACTTCTAGATTAAAATAAAGGGGTATTTATGTAAAAGGACAAAAAGTAAACGACATGCTAACTGCAATATCATGATGTAGAAAAAACACTGCAATATTATATTATTGTACCATCTATTTCTAAGAAAACGAAAATATTGGTAACCATTTATTTATTTTATTTGATTGAAGAGAAAATAAAGACTTTTTTAAAATAACTTTTTTTTTTCTCTTCAATTTTAATTTTAATTTAGTTTTTCCTTAATTTTATTTTTATTAAACTTAGCATAGGGTTGAGGATAATGATCAATTAGGTAAAACTTTTGTCAGATGGATGAAGTTTGTTCAGGTTACAATTTGATCACTTCCTCCACCACCACCACCAATTATTGCAGCATTTTCTGTGTAGCTTTGCTTTAATACATTGCTATGTTACTACCACTTAAATCTGAAGTCTTTTCAAAACTTTGGTAATTGCAGTTTGGCTTTATCCGTTTTCCCTTTGTACGTCCCCATGCTATCCACACAAGTGAGTACAATATACCTAACTCTAATCCCACACATGGGACATACCAAAGCAATGACATCAAATTAAACACTTTATAGCTTTTGCTTTCTAATGGACAATCTACAAAATTGTTTGTTCTACCTTGATGCTGCAAGAACTCTTAAAAGTTTTGAGAGTTAAATTTCCTATTTATGTCTTCTTGCTCGCACTCCTTCTCTTTTTAGTACTGCCTCATATGGACACCAATTCTAAGTTCTCACTTCACATATTGACACAACTACCGTATCCTTAAAAAACTGCTCTTTCTATATGGCACCCTTTTTCTCCAAGTTCAAGCTTCAATCAAGAAAACTCACTCTTGTCCTCAACTTGTGTTTCATCATTCTCCTCTTTCTTCTTCTAAATGATTATCTTCACCCTTATAACCCAAACTTTCAAGGCCATTCTAATGCCCCTCTTACAATCTTCAACCGTGCAAGGTTGCTTAGAGATATTAGTGTTGAAGGCTGCACCAACCTACACAATTATTCAGATTATAGCTCTAAGTGCTTATATGTGAAAAACCATCTTGATTGCAGGTCAAAAGGGTACATAAATTATCTTCAAATATTCTATTGTAATCTAGGAAAATATCCAATTTCGGGACAGGTCCTTCTTGCCTTATGGCTTGTGGTGTTGTTCTACCTATTGGGTGACACAGCTTCAAACTACTTTTGCAACTCCTTGGAAGGTTTGTCCAGCATCTTGAGGCTCTCTCCCACCATTGCTGGAGTGACCCTTTTGTCTTTGGGAAATGGGGCTCCTGATTTTTTTGCTAGTGTTGTTTCTTTCACTGGATCATCCAACAATGGTGCTGTTGGACTCAACAGCATTTTGGGAGGGTCTTTCTTTGTGTCTTGTGCTGTCTTGGGGATTATAAGCATTCTTGTTAGCCAAGACCAATTTGCAGTTAATAAAGTTAGTTTCATTAGGGACACCCTTTTCTTCCTTTTCTCTCTTCTCATCCTCCTTGTCATCATTTACATTGGTACAATTAACTTGTTGGGTTCAGTCTGCTATGTTTGTATCTACTTTCTTTATGTGTGTGCTGTCTCTGCCACACACCTTATCTATGGAGAGGGCAAAAATGAAAGGGGATACTCAGTGTCTTCTGATGAGTTACTAGAGACTAGCATACCTTTGTTGGGGTGTGTTGATGATGAGAAGCAAAGTTTGGCAGAGATAGTGATTGTTGAAGATAAGGAGGAAAAGCCAGAGAATTTTGGTAATAATTCATTATTTGATTGTGTTAGCTTGGGGAAGTTTGTACAAGTACTAGATTTACCTCTTTGCTTACCAAGAAAGCTTACAATACCAGTGGTGAGTGAGGATAAATGGTCAAAACCATATGCAGTTATATCTGTCACATTAGCACCAGTTTTATTAGCTGTTCTTTTCAATACTCAAAGGGAAAATGTAAGTTCAAGAAGCAATGTAGTTATCTACATAATAGCTGCTTTGATTGGGATAGTTTTGGGCAACATGGCATGCGTGACAACTGAGAGGTGTAGCCCGCCAAGAAAGTCTTTGTTTCCATGGCTGGCAGGGGGTTTTGTAATGAGTGTAACATGGACTTATATAATTGCTGAGGAGTTGGTTTCCCTCTTGGTTTCAATAGGGAACATCATTGGTATTAGTCCTTCAATCCTTGGGTTAACTGTGCTAGCTTGGGGTAACTCACTTGGGGATTTGATAGCCAATGGTGCCATGGCTTTGAATGGTGGGTCAGATGGTGTCCAAATGGCTATATCAGGGTGTTATGCAGGTCCTATGTTTAATACTTTGATGGGTTTGGGCTTGCCTCTTGTTCTCTCAGCATGGTCTGAACATCCAGACTCTTATGTTATTCCTAAGGATCCTTCACTCTACGAAACAATTTTGTTCTTGATGGCTGGGGTGCTTTTGGCCCTCGTCATATTGCCAAAGAAGAATATGAGGCTGGATAAATCCTTAGGAGCAGCACTCTTGAGTGTATACCTATGCTTTTTGTTTATAAGGTTAGCTATGGCTATTGGTGTTGTCAAATTCTAAAGATGTAGGCACTTTTTTTTTGCTCTTTTTAATGAAAACAATATATTTTAATGCAATTTTTTTCTCCCTTTTTAAAATTAATTTTATCTGACTTTAAAGCCAGCATGCAGTTTCTAAAGGGAAATATAAAATGTTTCTAAGAGGGTCCATTGTAGTCTCATGGAATTTAATCATGTGAATCATACACTTCACAATCAACACGTCTCCTTTACACATGATTGGAAGTGAAAATTTAAGGAAAAAAATTGTCTTTTTATTTAAAAATTCTGAGAAAACAAAATAAGTGTTTATATTTCAAAAATATTATCAAACACACATTTTTTTTAAAAAAGTCAATTATATTTGCTTACAAGTTACTAGAGTCATTAACATCACAATAATAAGCAGACACTTCTCTAACAATATCAGAAACGAAAATCTTAAGAGTGCTATTACACTGATTCAATCTAATTAAAATATAACACCTGACTAAGCAATTATACAATTAAATTTATCATTTTATAATTAAATATTTATCGTTAAATAAACTTTGATAAATAAATAGTAGAGATTTTCTCCTGCAAATGCTTGGCTGCATGTGGGTTAGGACCCGGTATCAGTTTCACCAGTTTGAGGCAGAGTTTGTCCGATCACATTTTTTGCCATTTTTCTAGTCAGTGTTAAGAGCTTTGGATATGTGGATGGGATCTCGGAACATGCATTGGTATGATGTCTTGTCACAATGCATGTCCTAAGCTCTAATATGCTAAGAGGAAATAAATTCAATTTAAAGCAAAAGTAAGTCTACTAAAATATAAAAGAATTAAAGTAAAATACATACGAAATTTTTGCATGGGATTTTTTAGAAGTAATTTCTCTTTTTTTTTCTGTGAAATTTCTTTCAAAAAAATTATAAAAATTCATTTGTTCTTTTTTAAAATAAGTTAAACTCAACAAATACTTAGATTTGTGCACAAACCTTTTTTTTTTCCTGCATTTATTACTTTTCATTAAATAAACTTTTTTTATTATTTAATGTTTCACTCATCGGACCTAATTACAAAATTTTTTTCGATTAAAAATCATGTAACATGCTAGTCAATCCCACAATGATAATAGCTTACATAAATAATTTCGCACAAGCTGTGAATATTGAAAGTTCTAAGATTCAAATAACAGCAATGTTGTCTCAATCATCATCATATCTCTTTTTACTTAAATTTGTTCTCATGAAATGTCTTTTCCTTTTTTATTTTTTCTTTTTTGGCTATGCAAAGCAAGCTCACGTTTCTGTCTCACTTGGAATCTTCTTTCATGCCCTGTCAGCACTAATCAGTCAAAAGAATAACATCTTATTTACCATCACTGCCATCGATGTTTCAAAATACACGTCAGCCTATGTCGAAAAGAAAAGCGGCATAGACAACAATATCTACTAAGTGGATTTGGATTCTTTGTAGTTGAAGTTTCAACTGTACAAATCTATGCCATTAAAATATATTTTTATACATATAATAATAGGGAAAAAAAGGTAAACTCAGAAATGTTGAAGGGTAAGGATTGCAACTGCATGGTCCTGCAATTCAAACTTCAAAGTGATCCTGTTCCCTGGTTCAACTGAGATGACAATCTAAATTTTGGGACAAGTGTAATTAAGAGGTGCTATTTTTGCACCATTTTATGCAAATCCTTTATAAATATATATTGAGAGAAAAAGAATCAATGTTACATAACAGCACGTGAACAAGTGGACGCTCAACTTGGGGCAATAAGTGACAAAACGGGATAGGTTGGGTGAACAAAGTCCATTAATGATTACCCAACGAAGGGCTTCATAGTCCAACCAAACCAAGTGTGTCCACTGTGTTTCTTAGATGTCCAAAAATCATAGTGGTCCATTTCTAACACGGTGAGTCTCTTTGTGGGACAATGCTGAATTTTTCCTTTTTAACTAATGACTTTACTCGTGATGAAATATTAATAATCATTTTAATCTGGTTACAAATTATTGTAGGATAAATTAGTATTCACAACCCATGCAGTCGAATAAAAAGATCTATTTTATATCTAAATTATATTGAACTAATAAAATGAATGTATATAAATATTCGGATGTAGCTCATAAAGTCTCATAATTCTATTAAAAAAAATGAAGAGTTCACCGGTATTCACGTCCAAATTAATTCTTAATTACTCTTAAAATAAAGTCTCATAAAATGAATGAAGAGAGGGGGAAAATGAGAAGCTGTCAACTTGGCCATCTGAGCACACTAGAGACAACCATCTCCAATCTTTCAGGAGCCACAATGCAAACTCTTATCTCTTATCCATTTAGCAATTTAAAATTGTTGGACCAAGTCATACAGTTTCGCTGGTTGCCAGCATCAAATTTCTCAATAGCATTTGAATTGATTTAAGTCATACTAAATATTGCAATTTTGAGCAAAAATTACCGTTTACAACAATATATTTATTTTTTAAACCATTGAAAAAATTGACTGAAACATAATCAGCTGAATTTTTATTCTAAATAGGTGCTCAATTTTTATATTACTTGTATTTTTAGTGCTAGCTAAAATACGATAATATTTCACTTAAAATAATTTATTTATTTGATTAAATTAGATAATTTATTAAATAATAAATTTTCTTTAATAAAAATAAAAACACTTAAATGTGGGAATCCCATATATTTAATATAAAGCTGGAAGCAAGTTAATTAAATTAATTTACTAATTAAACTTTGTATTTAACAACACTCTTTAGTGTCAATATAACATGACATAAAAATTTTTATCTTTTAGAAATTATTAGCAGCATAATGATTTTTTTTAAAAAAAAATTGGACCTTTAAATTGACTTGAAAGCATGATATTGTCAACTCTAATAACACATAATGAGCAAGTTAAGAAACTCATTATTTTATTTATTTATTCAATTGTCATGATCAAGGTCTTAATTACATAGTTCAAACCTATTATAAAAAATTGACGAGTTTTTTTCTTAATTAATCAATAATTTTATAAATATTTAATCATATCTTATATCTATTTAACTAATCTCTAAAGACATTAAGTGTTTAGAATTACACTATAACAAATCACATGTTATTTACTGTGATAATGTCAAAGGAAATAATAGTATTTTCTTTTCATGAAAATTTTCTATTAACTCTTTAAAGTAATATAAATCATCAAGAATTATTCCTTAAGTCATTTCAATTATAATATCATTATATGTATCATTTATATACATGTAATTTAATAAACGAGATTTATTAATCTTTGTCTAACCAATATCATTATATATATATATATATATATATATATATATATATATAATTTATTTGAATTATTGATGTTCATTTTCTATAATTCTATAATCAATAAATTTATATTAAAATTATAAAAATACTTGTTTTTCATTATAATAACAAGTCAAATTCTTATCAATTAACTATTTAATTAAATAGAATGTATGATTTATAAAATAATAAATTTCAACCTATTTATATAAATAAGTAGATCATGATAGCATGATTGATTAGTATATCTAATTATCCTGTAATGTAAAAAAAAATAAAAAATGAAAACATAAGTAAGTCTAAGCATTCTATTTGAATTGTGGTTGCTATTGTTGTCACATGGAATAGCTTAATTCATTTCCGCTGAATATGTTAAAATTATTAAATAGTTTTTTATATGCTACAATTTATTATAGTTTTTATTTTTATTTTTATTTTTAAAAAAGATAATTCATGATTCGGATAAGGTGTATAAGCAAATTCTATTATTAATTTAAATATTTTTTTATTTAGATATTTACAAGGATTATGGTATAGACTGAAACCAAAAGTTTCACATCAACCACTTAATAATTTACTCTATTAAAAGTAATGATTTGGATGTGTCAACTACAAATAAGCCCTAATTCATAATCGTTATAAGATCAAAAACTTGAGATTAAAATTTGATATGATGTAATTATTTATTTTCGTTAAGTTAGTTAGTCTTTATGAAAGGATAACTATGTACTTATGTTATAAATACTTACATTCTTATGAATAAATAGTTTTTCTATTGGTTCTATATTGATAGGTATCAATGAAAATATTTCTATATCTCTCTAATTTTTTTCCCTCAATTGTGTACAATTTTTTTTAGCATGAAGGATCAATTAAATCCTTCAATCTTCATGCGGCAGATAATCCTAGTTCTATTTTTTTTTTCTCTTAGATACTCATCGGTGACAATTATATATCATAGTCTCATGTCATAAAAATGGCACTAACCGGTAAAATATTGAGTTTTGTGGATGGTTCTATCCTAGAACTTGATGAAAATCATCCCAATTTCTTTGGCTTGGCAATGTAACAATAACATTGTTGCTTTTTTACTACTTAATTTAATTTGTAAGGAAATCACTACAAGTGTAATTTATGCCTTAACTGACGCTACAATTTAGATAGATCTTAAAGAATGATTATAGGATTTTTCAATTAAGGCATGATTTGATGAGCTTGCATCAATACTTATTGACAATAAGTATGCTTAATTTTTAAACAGTCTGTTTACGTATGTGAATAATGTTAACAATTACACCAATCTTTTTAACTAAGTATAGGTTAGATAAATCCCATGAAGTTATGGTCAAGCACAAATATTATTTTTTTCGACTTCTATTTGAACTAAAAGTATAGTAGAAAGACATATAGTGCAGAAAATAAAGGAAATTGATAGAAATATTTTTGACATTTTTTGTTTTAAAAAATAAATATAAATACAGCACAAAAAGTACAGAAAAATTAATAAACAAAAGTTAGAATTATATTTACTTCTATTTGCCTCTCCTATATTGTAATTTATTTCATGTGCTTTACTTTTCATGCTATGAAGATTAAGTTCTTTAATGTTGAATTAACTCTAATTTTTTGGACGAAAAATTCCTATACAATTAACCAAAACATCCTAATTCCTTAAGCTTGCTTAATTAACACATGCATTATGTTTCAAGAACTCAAAAAAACT